GGAAGATCGTCCATGAGACACTAAAGCTGTTGTAGTATAGTGTAAAATCATTCCTCAACTGCCACTCAGAGATGCACAGATTCCTGGTTTGTGTAATTGTGTAAATCTTGCACAGTGAATGTTTCTGATGGAACCTCACAGGGAAGAGGAGTTTTAAATTAGTCTTCTTGTTTTGTTTTTCATTTCGCACAAAGCTACATGAGGGCTATCTGCACTAGCCGTCCCTAATTTAGCAGTGTAAGATTACAGGGAAGGCAGCTAGTCATCACCACCTACCGCCAACTCTTAGGCTACTCTTTTACCAACAAATAGTGGGATTGACCAACACATTATAATGTCTCCACGGCTGAAAGGGCGAGCATGTTTGGTGTGATGGGGAATCGAACCCGCGACCTGCAGATTGTGAGTCAAGTGCCCTAACCACCTGGCAAAGAGTCTTCTTGCATGATTGGGTTCCACTCAACATTACACACACTGTGAAGGCATTGCTTTTGAGGAGCAAGCAAGACATTTTCCACACAGTCTTCAATTTTACAATGCTGAGTTTTGGCTATGGGGTCAGCTCAAATCATTGGTGCATTATGACCCACCCATACCTTAAGACCTAGAAGAAAACCAAGTCTAACTGCTAGAAAGAGAAAAGTATCATTGAGAAGTGTATCCATATAAGTAACAGTAGCTATGAGTGGTGGTCACATCAATCAGGGCTAGCATGTTTCATGTTATAATACTTGAAAGTGGTAAATATTCTACATAATTACGATTAAAATAACAGATTTAAATAAATGTTTACACCTACCACTCGTATAATGCCTTTATTCTTAAGAGTTCAATTAATAAAGGTATTGTTTTCAGGCATCATGATTTCGTCAGAGGAGCAAATGATATATCAATAAGACAGAACTCATAAACATAAATCCAAAAAAACAATTTATAATGATTTCATAGTTAAAAGTACAATATCAAAAACTAGCAAATCATATGGAAAATGAGAAACAAGTAAATATTATGTAAAAATTGGAGAATGTCAAAACATCGTTTCAATTAAAACCAATTTCAAGAAAACTAAAAATTCAAAGCACTTGGCTCTTAGATGATTTCATGACACAGATGCAGGATAACATCATATAAATGAATGCTTTACTTCAATCAATAAGTAGCAATCGGCTAGAATTCAGCTGCACAGTACTTGTGTTCATTGATCTACAAAATATAAACTAGTTGTGTTCTGCAAGTAACATTTAACTGGACAAGATACTTGGCAGTCTACCCAGTAACCTGACTGTGGTAACTACCAAGAGGTATACATTTTATTATTATAAAATACATTGAAGTATCCAAGAGTTACTTGAAATTAGAAACATATATGTCTGTTCATTACATCTAACATTCAGATTTTTTTTTAAATTTGGTTATCTTTAAAATATATGGATTCTTCACATAAGAAAATTTGTGATAGTAAAGCTAATTTAACAGAAGTAAACAACCACAATACAAGCAGGTGTTTGAAAAGTGATTACAATATTAAATTCGTGAGCATGTGGTAAGTTCATCATACCAAGTTTATGTCTAGAGTTTAGTCCATGACAATGTCTGGACACAGATTTGATACGATGAACTTACCACATTGTCATGGACTAAACTCTAGACATAAACTTGGTATGATGAACTTACCAGTTTAGTTCACGAGTATGTGCTAAGTTTACTGTGGCAAATCTGTGTAGTTTAGTTCATGAGCAGGTGGTAAGATCATTATACCAAACCTGAATCTAAATTTCATCACAGTAAATCTGTGTCTAGAGTTTAGTTCATGAGTATGTGGTAAATTTACTGTAGCAAATCTGAGTTTAAAGTTAAGTTCATGAGCATGTGAAAAACCTGAGACTAGAGTTTAGTTTCTGTAAGTCAAGGTTAAAAGGAGCTCTGTTATTTATACACAATATACTAACTGTATGTTCTGGAGTTCAGCTCCGACAGTTGTACACAACAAACCAACTGTATGTATAGCCTGTTATTTATATACAATATATCATGTATGTTCTGCAGTTCAGCTCTGACAGTTGTATACAACATACCAACTGTATGTATAGCCTGTTATTTACATACAATATACCAATCGTATGATAACCCGTTATTCATACACAATATACCTATTTATCTTCTGGAGTTCAGCTCTAATAGTTTTACATAATTTCAGTTAGGTACTAAGAAGTTTTACTTCTCTTGGGGTGTTTCATAAATCATGTGACCTTTTGAATTTAAGGGTCCAGCCATATCTGAAAACACTGGTGACATATTATTGTCAAGTAATGAAAATATTGTTTTAATTAAATACACTTCGATTAGCCTTAAAAATAACAAATGGTGGAACATTATTTTTTTCTATTTTCATTAACTAAAGGAGTAACTATAAAGTCTGAAGACAGCTTGAATGGATAATGAAGAAAATATTATGACACGTTTCACATAGCAAATAATACAATGTTGAACTTGCAATAAATTTTTCTTCATTACCAATTCAAGCTATCTTCAAATTCATTGCCTCAAAGTAGGTTTCTCATCATCAAATAAGGAAGTAACTAACTGCAGATTTTTCAGGTAATTCACTTCATATATGGTCAGAATTTCCACGAGTCTGTTCAGGTTATACTTTCTTAGCATGAGCATAGAAATGATGAAATGATCCATATGTTCCTTCATGAAAATGATGAAATGAACCATTGTCACTTCTTCCTTCATGGAAATGAACCATGTGTCCCTTCTTCCCTCATGGAAATGATCCAAAGAACCATGTGTCCCTTTTCCTTCCTATTACACTTCTGATTAGTTTTTCATGTCAATTTTTCTATGCAACTATTAACTACCTGTACACTGTTAGTAATACCTATGTACGGAATATGTTGTGATGCACAGAAAGCTGACATGAATGGTTGACTGAATCGGGCTACACGAAGAGTCTTCAATCCACATGAATAATAAACACAAAAAATATATTAAGTTCATTTTACTGTCAAATAGAAAAAAATCTTAGAAAAAGCATGAAGATGGCAATTATAGAGTAACAACAATTGGTCCAAAACTGATGCAGGGAAGAGTAAAGCTCTGCACGTAATGTACCGATATGATGATTGACGGCTCCACCGGAGGGGCTGCTGATTGTAGATAATGGTGAAGAACTGAAGGAAAAAAGTAGAATTAGCCTACATACAGTATTCAAATAAACTTGAAAAATTGTAAATAGAAACAAGTAGATTACTGAAACTAAATATAAGCACAGTGAATATAACATCTAGTATGATAACTTTACTTTTTCAACACTATAATGACAATTCCTTAAAAAAAAAAATTCTCAAGTGTTACAGAAAACAGAGATTGCTTGTCTGGGTGCTCTCACTTTAAATATGCTAGTTTTCCCATAGAATGTTTATTATACAAGTGTTATATAATAATGAAACCTTGTAGAAAGTTTTTTTTGTTTGTTTGATAGCCTGCATGTTAACTGTTTTATATAGAGTTTCATATAGTCAGTACCTTGGGCACTAATATATTACTACTGTTTTTATGTATACACTAATTTTTGTTTTAGAATGGCTCCCTGGTGACTCAACTTATCTCATTAAAAATTGGGTTTTGATACTTACAATGGACACAGCAGAGATAACTAAGTATGCTTTTATGTATTTGTTGGTGTAATGAAACAGAGTATGCTTTTCTGTATTTGTTGGTGTGATGAAACAGAGTATGCTTTTATTAATGTGTTGGTGTGATGAAATAGAGTATGCTTTTCTGTATTTGTTGGTGTGATGAAACAGAGTATGCTTTTATTAATGTGTTGCTGTGATGAAATAGAGTATGATTTTCTGTATTTGTTGGTGTGATGAAACTAAGTATGCCTTTATGTTTTTGTTCGTGTGATGAAACAGTATGCCTTTATGTTTTATGAATGTGTTGGTGTGATAAAATTTAGTAACACCCTCCTTTTTGTCAATTGAGTTAACTTTATTTCATACTATGTACTGGATTACTACACATCAGTGCATTATAAAAGTATCTAGAGCTTTATTACTTTTCATCATACTAACAAATAGATAAAAGCAGACACTTTCTTCAGCTGTAAAGCTCATTGAACTTTCTCTTACCATTTATAAAATGGTACACTTTTTCTTCCGGGGTTTATCTCTGTGCTTTTTTTTATCCTTTCCCTTTCTTTCTCTCTGCAAAAAATGAATTTTAGACCATAGTTACTTCCTTCCATAAAGCTTTTCCTCTTTAACTACACCTAAAAACAAACAAAGTTCTTCCTCTGTAACTGATATTAAACACAAAACTCTTTCTCTCTAACTGATATTAAACACAAAGTTCTTCCTCTTTAACTGATATTAAACACAAAACTCTTTCTTTCTAACTGATATTAAACACAAAACTCTTTCTTTCTAACTGATATTAAACACAAAGTTCTTCTTCTTTAACTGATATTAAACACAAAACTCTTTCTCTCTAACTGATATTAAACACAAAGTTCTTCTTCTTTAACTGATATTAAACACAAAACTCTTTCTCTCTAATTGATATTAAAAACAAAACTCTTTCTCTCTAACTGATATTAAACACAAAGTTCTTCCTCTTTAACTGATATTAAACACAAAACTCTTTCTCTCTAACTGATATTAAACACAAAACTCTTTCTCTCTAACTGATATTAAACACAAAGTTATTTCTCTCTAACTGATATTAAACACAAAACTCTTTCTCTCTAACTGATATTAAACACAAAGTTCTTCCTCTTTAACTGATATTAAACACAAAGTTCTTTCTCTCTAACTGATATTAAACACAAAACTCTTTCTCTCTAACTGATATTAAACACAAAGTTCTTCCTCTTTAACTGATATTAAACACAAAGTTCTTTCTCTCTAACTGATATTAAACACAAAACTCTTTCTCTCTAACTGATATTAAACACAAAGTTCTTCCTCTTTAACTGATATTAAACACAAAACTATTTCTCTCTAATTGATATTAAACACAAAGTTCTATTGGAGTGATTTTAGTTCCAAATAGTCCTGATTATAAAACACTGTAAAAATACATTATTTAACTTTTAGAATTGCATATTTGCATGTTTATTTTACCAAAGCTTAAAACATGTTCTTCAAGACACAAAATGTTCATTACTTACCTTTATCACTATACAAAAGTTTCAGTGTTTAACTTTATGCTTATATCTTAATACATTTCTAATATACTAAAGTACAGAAAACATTGCTGAAACTTAAAAGTATTATTAATTACTTTTACACTTACATCTCTACGTATTTCTCGAACCAAAGTGTAAAAGGCATCATCTACACCCATTCTTGTCTTTGCTGATGTCTCTATGAAAGGAATTCCATAATTTTTTGCTACTTCTGTGGCCTGCTTCGTGTCTACTGCTCTGGTTGGAAGGTCACATTTATTTCCAACCACTAAAAAAAAAAATATAAAAGTATTTCAAAAATTCACTGAAGAGATGCAACCAAACACTAGGTGGAATATTTCTAGAAGCAGTAATTTTATTTTATTTTAGTAAAAATCATTTAACAAACAAACATGAAAACACAGGCAACTTAAGCATCATGATAAATACATAATTAAAACCTACTTAAAAAAATAAGAAACGAAAACCTTTAGGATAACTTTATTTTAATCACTGTTATACATTATTTGTAAAAACTTAAAAAAAATGGTGCCAAGCATTTAGAAACTGAATACCAAAGTAAATATACCTTGCTGACTGAAGTATTGCCAAGTATTTACCAATTAAATACCAAGATTAAGATCTTTTGTTGACAGAAGTGTTAACAAACATTTAGAAACTGAATACCAAAGTAAATATACCTTGCTGACTGAAGTATTGCCAAGTATTTACCAATTAAATACCAGGATTAAGATCTTTTGTTGACTGAAGTGTTAACAAACATTTAGAAACTGAATATAAAAGTGAAAACATCTTGTTGACCAAGGTGATGCTTAGCAACTTATTAATTAACAAAGTAGAAACCTCTTGATGACTGAAGCAGTACACAGTAAAAATCTCGTTTGTTGACAGTGGTAACAATCATCTTACTGATCACTAAGGTACAAAAGCTTATCTTGATAGAGAAGTTCTCCAATTATGAAGGTGCTAAACCTTCTGTTGTTTGACAATTGTGTCACCTTTTGAAAGTGCTAAACCTTCTGTTGTTTGACAATTTGTGTCACATTTTGAAGGTGCTTAATCTTATTTTGATCAATAATTGTATCATCTTTTGGTAACTGATTATGCAAGTGCTAAATCTTATGTTGTTTGATGATAAAAACCAACTAACTACAAAGTTGTTAAATCTTATATTGTTTATAGTTGTGTACACCTTTGCATGCTGTTTGTTTGTTTGCTGAATTTTGAATAAAGCTATTCAAGGGATATCAATACAAGCTTTCTCTAATTTTGTAATTACAGACAAAAAAGGAAGATAGCTAGTCAATAGCATACAGCAACTTCTTGGGCTATTATGGTCAAATAGTTGACTGTCACTTTTATAACACATCCAATCCCCCAAACAGCAGAGCACAATGTTCTTTGTCAGTTACGGGGCACGAAACACAGAATCTCAAAACCACAGCCTGGTACACTAACAACTAGGCTACACCCGGCCCCTTTGCAAACTTGTTCAATCTTGTGTTTGACAGATGTGTCAACCTTTGAAACCAATTATAAAGTTGTTAAATCTTATGCTGGTTGAGAGTTGTGAGCTTCTGATAACTCTGAATTTTTTAAAAAGACATTTCTTCAGAGAATGATCAAGAGTAGAATATCAATACAAACATCATAACTTTAGGACAGAAACCAGTCCAATTTTCCTTGCATTTTAAACTATATTACAGATAGGTGCAGGAAAGATGAATCAACCTTGTAAGGAATTTTGTATACTTACAGACCATAGGGACATCATCTGCATCTTTTACACGTTTTATCTGAAAGTAAAAATTATAAACACTCTTGGTAAGGAATATTAAGGTTTTGGTATTTATCTTTTACACTTATTTTATCAAATCCATAAAAGACAAACTTATTAATCATACAAGTGGAAGTTTCATAGAACTAATACAAATCTAATTTTTCGAAATGAGGAAGAAATATTTTGAAAAGTTTCAGTTATTAGTACTTCGATAAAGTTTACATTTCAGATGAATAGTGCAAAAAATAGGGAAATTTCAAAAGTAAAATTTACAAAAATTCCCCAACAAAAAGCAATGTAGAAATTTACTAGTTGATTAAATGCAAACAATTACAAAACATAAAATGTTTGATTTATTATTATCAGCAAACCTTGTAAAATTCCTCCCTTGATCGCTACATTTGATTCACAGGATGACCTTAACAACTCTAGTAACCTACCTCTTATTATAATTAAATTTTAAAAAGTTTAAAATTCAAGGAACTTGTGTATAGATTTAAAATATTAAAATCCACAAACGAAAAACATTTTATAATACACAATTAAAATCTTTATTTCAACCGATCAGCGGTGTAAAAGTCACTCTACATGTTTCAATGTGATTTCACATCATCTTCAGGAGTGTGAAAAACAGTTACAGTGTGCTATATAAGTACAAAAACTATGATCATGTGGCTACTACTTTACAATTCAAAATACTTTCTGATTTTCTAACCCTTCATCCTTATTTAAGATCAAGTTGTTTTTGCTGTGTTTCATTATTTCAATGACTTCTCTAATATTTATAGCAGTATTATTAATCGGTTGAGCCAAAATAACCATTATTTTCTCACTGGATGATTTGTCCAATATAATTTACATGTTCAATTAATGCAGAGTTTTCACTTTTGTTTTTAACATTTCTATTACGTTCATTTGTCTAGTTTGACCAATGTATGCACAACCCACATTCACACTGAACTTTATATTATCTAATATTTGACTAATTTAGTCAATGGTCTGCAAATGGCAATAAGTTGTTTGTTTTGTTTTTTGAATTTATGAACAATTTGAAATGATAAACCTGGGATATATATAGTAAAAATATCAGCAACTTCTGATAATAGAGATAGTAATAAGCAAACTCACTATTCTGTTCATTCAACTTTGGTTGTAGTCTATTTATCAATTTCCTATATGTGCAGTTCCTGTTCATTACACTATTTGCCTTTTTGAGGATTTAAAAGTATCATCTGTATTTGTTCCTGTTGATTATTTGCCTTTTTAAGGATTTGAATATATCATCTATATTTGTTCCTGTTGATTATTTGCCTTTTTGAGGATTTGAAAGTATCATCTATATTTGTTCCTGTTCATTATTTGCCTTTTTGAGGATTTGAAAGTATCATCTATATTTGTTCCTGTTCATTATTTGCCTTTTTGGGGTTTTGAAAGTATCACCTATATTTGTTCTTGTTCATTACTTGCCTTTTTGAACATTTGAAAGTATCATCTATATTTGTTCCTGTTCATTATTTGCCTATTTGAGGATTTGAAAGTGTCCTCGTCTATATTTATATGTTCAGTGCATGGTTCATAGTGTATAGATCATCCTGATGAAGTAAATTTTAATTTTTCTATTGATGTTTTCAGTTAGAAAAATGTGTTTGTATTCCAACAAAAGGCTTGAATTTGAGGATCATAACTGAGTTTTCAATAGTTGCTACAGCAACTGTATGAACAAAAAACAATGAACCTTTTAACAGCATAAGAACTCAAGTAAGGAGCATTGACTGAAAATTTTTAACAATTATCACTCTGGAAGAAACTTACTAACACAAGAAAAAATTCATGTTATTAAAGGTTTCAGTAAAAATGAAAATAAAGTGATCAGAAATGTAGGTAAAGGAAATATTAGGTAGTTCAAAAAAATTAATGTTGTGTTTTAGAACATTTTCATTAACCACTACCCCAAAAAACGTACTTCTCATATAATAGTTAAACGAACCATCTAAACATCAAGTTAGTGTAGCCTGTATAATGTGTAAAGTTTAGTATACTCTAATCCCTTACAGTGACGGCACACAATGACACACACATTCGGCATGTAATGCTGTTTGAATACAAGAAGGGAAACAATGCCTCTGTAGCAA